GCAAATGCAAGCAAACGAGTCAAATCACCATCCACTTCATCAAAGAGGTCAGAGAAAGAGGGTAACTACAGCTTTTTATGGATTTGCCGGTGAGTTTTCTTGACTTGTTAGCTTGACGATGATACCTTGCTCCGATGATGGTCGTCTTCTGGTGAATCCGACCTTGGAATCTCTTCACCAAACACTTTCACTCGAAACGGAAGTCTTCCATTCTGCAGGACTGAGGTATTTCGTGAGGTTGGTGGGCCAAAGTATTGGCCGGTACCGGTGGCCTGAAGACGGACTGGCACATTCACTTCGAATCGCCTCTTCATGTTGCACCGAGTTGCGGTGGAGACGCGGCAGAGGAGACGTGCAAATGCATGCAAAGTGGGCAGATCTCGATGCAGACTCGAGCTGGCTGGCAGGCGGATTTCTGGTCAAGTCGAGGCAGTCTCAGGCAGTCTCGTTGCAGAAGCCAGTCGCGGCATCCTTCAAGACGTCTCTGACAGCAGCATTCGTGCCTACTTTGCCTTCATCCACTGAAGATACAGCAAGACTATTAGCCCCACATCGACTGCAACAGCACTAACAACAACCGCTCTTTTGCTGACACTAACACGCAAGCCACACCAACTACTACTACTACTACTGCTACTCTTGTTATTCTCTTTGTTTTCTCATTTTTTGTCGATTATTCACATTTCTCTATCTCCTTATCCTTCTCCTCCTTCTTTTACTGCCATTACTCCTCCCATCCCCCTCTCACCCTCCTTTTTTTCAGTTACTCATCCACTTCCTTTTTTGTCTTTTTTCACCATCTCTCTCTCCCCTCATTATCTTCTTCTTTTTCATTTTTATTCCTCTTCTTCTCCTCCTCACCTCTCCTTCTACAATAGAACCAATTAATACAACAACAACAACAACAACAATTATTATTATTATTATGAATATTTAATATTATTATTATTATTGTAAGGGGACCTTCATTTCGAAGGAAAGTGCATGGAGAAGAGATTCGCTGGTCGATGTGATTAGATGAGGACGGATGAAACTCGTAGTACTGCAGCCGTTTGGCTTTTGTACAATATTCGTGTTGACGCATTCCACGAGACTTCCTCTTCATCTGGTGTGAACGACCAACGAATCTCTTCTTGATGCACTTTCATTCAAAATGAAGGTACCCCCAATAGTGTTATCTCAGGAGTTTCATCGAAACCAAGTTTCTCTTCGTATCTATTATCATCATCATTATTATTAATATTATTAATATTATTAATATTATTAATATTATTATTATTATTATTATTATTATTATTATTTGTAGTAGTAGTATTTATAGTAGTAGTAGTATTTGTAGAAGTAGTAGTAGTATTTGTAGTTGTATTAGTAATATTTGTAGTAGCAGTAGTATTTGTAGTAGTAGTATTTGTAGCAGCAGTAGTAATAGTATTGATATTAGTATTAGTAGCATTAGTATTAGTAGTAATAGTAGTAATAATACTATTATTATTATTATTATTACCATTATCATTATTATCATTATTATTATTATTATTATTATTATTATTATTATTATTATTATTATTAT